ACAGTATTATTGCTTCATTAAAATTCAATTTTTACTTTGCTAAAATCATTTGCATGTCTGTCTGAATTGAATCAAGAAGGTTACCATCAAACCAAATATTATTGAATCATTGTTACTTAAAAAAATATTTACGCAACAGGAGGAACCGTTTATACGTCACAAAATCGTTACACAATTGATGAAAATTTTTTTAATATTTATTTTGGAAAGCCGCTTGACTTATCTTTTCTATGAATATTGAAAATGGTCAAACAAACATGAAGCTCTCACTTTGCATTACAACATATTTTTTGAATCCCCTTGAATCCCATGGTTTCGTCTTTTGCAATTTGATTGGTTGACTAATCCCGTAGTGATATTTTGACAGGTCGATACAATGAGTGATCTGTGTAACGGATAATGAAAATCATATCTATATTTGGACTGTTTATCCTGTTTATTTACGCTCTTCATTCAATTTTATTTCTAAATATGGTTAAATTTGATCCCTATTGTTGTTATGATAAAATTTCTTAACAGTTTACCCTCGTTTATATCAATCCATTTGAATTGGTTTAAATTCATGTTGATAGTGATATTAACAAGATATTATATTAAAAGTTGATATATATGTATGAGGGAGTTTTAATACATAAAAATTTGTAAAAATTTATCTTGTGGTTTAGGTTGATATTAACGGGGTTGATATTAACGAGGGTAGACTGTATCTCCAAAATTCTGTTTAATGTAAATCTAATGATTGTAAAGAGAGGACTTAGAAATGACTGGGTCTCACAGTTAAAACAAAACTTAATATTGTTTAAGCGAAAGCTAAGTTCATAAGCAAAGTAAAAATTGAATTTTAATGAAGCAATAATACTGTATCAATTTAAATTTATTGATTTTTGCGTCTCTATATAATATTGTACAGCGTTTAATAAAAACTTAATTTTTGAAATCATTTTCAGAAATTATAATATCAACAAAATCAGAATCTAAATGAATGAATAAATAAGCATAAATAACTTGTTATTTATAATAAGTTGTATTTGCAGTATTAAATATAAAATACCATGTGTGTCCAAGCTGTAGGTACTTTTTATCTTTCGACTATCAATCAACTTGCTAGTATACATGGAATCATGATTTATTGAAGAGATATTCATCATTGAATTAATAATTTCATCAGCGATCATAAATTCGTTTTTTATATCAAGATCTTTATCAGATGTTAAGTTTTGTTTCATAATAATCTTTTGCCATTTATAAAGTTCCGATTTAACACTTGCAGCTGCTGGCCGTTTTTGTGGATCAAAGTTCATACATTGGTTAGCTAATTCAATATAACAATTAGGAGTTTCCTTGGCAAATCCTGGCCTAAGTCCTTTGCAAATTTTTATTGCAAGACCGAAATCAAATGAGTAACCATCAAAAGGTCTTTTACCACTTGATACTTCTGTCATAATAACA